GTGAACATAATAAGAGTCCATTTTTCTTTTTGTAATGAATATTTCTGGATAAGAAAAATATTAAAGACAGAGACACTTTTTGGCAGTTTATTGATAAGAGAAAAAAAGAATTTTTTTTGTGAGTTCTTTATTTTTTTTATTTTTTAGATGATAATTTTTAATGCTATAATTAAAATTATATAATTTTCCATTGTCTGTAATATTATTTTTTCCTAAGTTTTAAAAGAATCATAAAATCAATCTTCTTTTCTTCTCAAGTAATGTAAAACTGTTTTTGCCTATCTCAGTCTGTGTAAGTAAAGTTTGAATTCCTTTTTAGCTATAAATTATAAAATTTCAATATACAGTTATCAAATGACCTATTTCTTTTCTTAATTAAGAAAAAATTGAGGTACTATTATAATATGATACACAAATAATGGGATGCCAAAATATAAATGTAAAGAAATAACAAATAATTCTGTCCTGTAATGTCTAGTCATTAAATTAAAAAAATCACAACTAGGGTACACTTGTTGGAACTAGGGTTGTTTTAAGAATTAATAGTAAAACAGGTGATGAAAAATATTTTAAATAATGCTACGTTAATTTTAGAAAAAAAAGCTACTATAATTCTTTTTAGAACAATCTTGCAAATTTTAACTTGTCAAACATTTTAACATATTCTGGAAGTTCCCAATAACTTCTTTCAAAAACAATCCGTGCACAAATTTCTTTTTAAAATTACGCCTAAATGTAACTAAAAAAAACTTATATTGCTTTAAAAAAATCAAGAAACTTAAACAAAAAGCTTGTTTTTATTTATTTGCATATTTAATTTTAAAAAACATATAGTTTCTTTGTGATGTTAAAAAGCATCGAAATTTTTTTCTAAATATGTATGATGAACATGTTCTACATAAAAAATTCCCAGATTTAAAATGCATTCTTTCAAATTTAGTTAGCATATTTTTTGTATAAATAAAGATTGTTTTAAAATAGGAAAGCGGTATCAAAGAATGCAGAATTTCAATCGTCATTTAAAGTACGTACTGTTACTTTAATGTTACTAACGCTTCAGTATTCGAACTATTTCCACCAATCTCAAACAAATTTACATGTTTAATAATCTGAAATAATATAGGATGTTGCACATAAAATATACAACATCCTTTATCAATCTTTTTTTTAAATTTAAGCTCAGTTCAAATTAGAAAACTGTAACAAATATGTAGTATTTGAAATAGTTACAGCATTTCAAAATATCTTTCAAATGTATAGAGTTACTGTTTAAAAAGTAGAAGCATCTTCCTGTTAGGAACTACTTATGAAATAACCAAACCAGATCTTTTAATATCTTTTAAAAGCCTCTTGCACAAATATTTTAAAATATTTTAATGCTAAAACGGAAGAAATATTGTGATGCTTTAACTATCTTTATCAGACAAAACTATTTGAGAGTTATGAGGTTTATATTAGTTAGTGCTAGACAGATCACAGATAAATTTTGTTCCACTTGACACAGAGCAGGCAATACCTTATAAATGTTTTTTATTTATTGATTGATTTTTTTTTAATGTTGGAAAATTATTATTCACTTTAGGCGTTTTAAATATTTGTAATAAAACAGTCTGTAATATATTCTGTTTTAATTATAAACTGATTTTAAGAATTTTTATTCAATCGAGTTAAAAAATATGAAATAAACATCTCTTTAAAATTATAATTCAAATTTCTATCAAAAAAAAAATGTTTGAAAATGTATTGAAAATGTACAAAAAAATGTACTGAAGCATAAATTACTCTTTTAATGGTGTGAGGGAAATAGCTAGGGTTGTAAATTTGTAAATATTATTTGTAAATGCATTTTTTACTCTGGTTTTATTTTCAACATTAAGCTTTATTTCAGTATCCTGCAAGATTCATGTAAACTGAACGAATTTTTACTTGATAAGCTATAAATAAATTGTGAAAAACAAAATTGAATACTGTTTAACGCCACCTCTCAACTTTATAACCACTTGGGTTTCATTTATAATCATATAAACCATGCATCTATAATTTTACATGTCTATTGCATCCACAGTTAGACTGATGATTTAATCTAAGAAATCCATCGAATTACTGAGATGCTGATTTTCCTGTTTCAACCACTGTTTGATCACGACCATCAAAAATTGTTATGAGAAAGATTTCAAGTCTGTTGATTATACAGGTTTTGAGCTGTAATAGGATGTGCGTGAATGCCTAAAAAAGCAGTTTCCGAGATCGATAAATTTTGATGTTAAATATGAGTATCAATAACATACTTGTGATAGAAATATTGACTAAAAGGCAGCAACTTTTCTACAAAAATGTCAAATTGAACATGTTATTTTATGTTAGCAGTCAACTCGATGAAATATCGGGTGCAAATGATTATAAGTAAAATCCTTCGAAGCCTTGACCCATCTCTGACTTTTCATGACTTTTGCCGATGTGACTAAAGTTATTTCTGGCGAATAATAGTAATTGTTGCTAACTTAAAGAATATGCAATTAAAAACGTCATACCTTTAGCATTATATTTTAGGTTAAATATTTACAAAAATAGAGTTTCGAGAAAAATTTAAAGTTATTAAAGATTTATGTGTTTTATATTATTTGATTTTGTAAGTACAGTAATGTTTTAATGTATATAATACGTTAAGAAAAACATAGTGTGAAATGCATTTTTTTCACTAAATGTTTGCTAGAAGATTTAAGCTATCATCAAGTAATGTATTTCATTACTCTCGTAGCTTGTAAGGAAAAAAAGAATCTAAATTCACGAATTTAACATTAGCTTAGAATCTAGCCATTAAAAAGTAAAATCAAAGTTTTCTTCCAAAAAAATTAAGGTTTTCAACTTTTCATTTGTAGTTATAAATTTAAAGCAATATGTGGTCGGGAAATATAATGTCCCACTCCTTATAATTTGAAAAGTTACATGAACACAAGCACTTATAAGTTTTTGTTGATTAACGAAGCTGAACATATTCAATGAATTTAATCAAATATAAAAGCAATTTTTTTTTAACTAAGCTTAAAGTGTTGTACTATTTCTGGAATTGTTATACATAAACATCCATCACGGTTAGCATGAACTTTTATTTAAATTTTATTTTTTTTCAATAATCAAAAGAGCAATTTTTGATGATAAAAAACATAAAAATATGTGTATTTCTCATTGGAGAAATTTGAGATATGAACAGAATTAATAATTAAAAACTACACATGTTTACATTTATCTATTTAAATTTAATCTATTAAGTTTAGTCTATTCAGATTTACTAAATGATTTAATAAGAATTATTAAATATTTTATTTAATATTTGATAATTCTTATAATAATTTTAAATAATTTTATAAATTTCCATTATATAAATAAATTTAAGTCTTAGTTTTTTGCAATAACAAATTTTATGCACTTGAAATTTCTTATGGAAATAATGAAACTGATTCTTTACTTAAAAACGTCCATTTGTAGTTGTTTTTTAATCATTTTAATTACGTATTTAATTTTTTGTTTATTTTTTTTCCTTTGAACTAAACTTTATATTTTTCTCTGTAAATACTGTGGCTGGGTGCAAAGTTGGTTTGTCGTCGGCCTTCTGACCCCAAGTCTGCGGGTTCGATCCCCGGCCCAGACACCGGATTTTCGGGATGCAGAAAATCCTCAGCGGCCATGTCGTATGATTATGCAGCATGTAAAAGATCCCTGGAGTGCCTTATTGGATCTTGGCATTTCCGGAAAAATTAAATTCCTAGTGAACTTTAGCATCCAAATAGAGCCTGGATGCTGCCATCTAGTGTGGCAAAAACTAGACGTCCAAATTAACATGACCAACAGTATCTCACCCATTGTGGTGGTCCTGAAAGAGTGGATGCCACGGCCTCTAGAGAACGCAATAGGTCTGCTCATGTGTGCGCACTTGTGCAGTTCATTGGAAATTAAAAAAAATAAAAAAATCTCTGTAAATACTTTACACCTTCAAATTATTATACAAATTTTGAATTTCAAAGGAAATGTTTATAAAATTTTGTCATTTTCATTCAAACTCTTTTTCTTTGAAATGCATGGACATAAGATATTTTCAAATCTACATTTATATCTACTATTTTTAATGCATGTATTTGTTTTTTAGCAATATTTGCCCTGAGGGAAAAAAATGGTCTCAGCTACCAGAATATAGTAATTATTTTCGTAAAATTGCAATAAAATATGATTTTATAAAATGTGATAAACTGGGATAATTTTTTCATGAGCATGCCATAAAAACCATTTTTTGGGTTTTATTTAATTTTCTTTTTCGTATTTCTTACTGAATGTGTGGTAATGAGTATTATAATATTGAAAACCTGATTTTCTGATTAACCGTTACCATATGTCAATAAAAGTTCCTACTTAATAATTTAAATAGCTCACAATATGGTTTTATTACCAGAATTATGTAATTTTTTTACCAAAAGTTTCATGACCATACAGTACGATAATTTAACCTTTTTCAAGTGTACTTACGTTCAACAACTAAACTGAAAGATTCCTCTTAGAATAACAGAATGAATAAAATAAATTGTGCAAATAATTCATAACTATTGTAGTGTGCTGATGCTCCTATAAAACAGTATTTTCTTTTTTTTTCCTACAATTATTTCATAGTAAAAAGTTAGATCAGGGGTAGTCATATAATAATTGCATAAATAACATGCATTTTCCCCTTTAAAAATTTTATTAAATTCTTTTAAAACTAAAAGGGTTAAACTTTGCCGGCAAAGTACAGTAAGTACAGTTAGTGCACAATTATTATTTTATTGTCGTTTCTTTTTCTGATTTTTTGGTAGAAAAAACATTTTTATCGATTAATCAGTAGTTTTGTTCCATTATTGTCCAAATAAAAAGACCCGGGAGTTTATAAATTTTTTATAAGCGCTTTTTATGATAAATTTGTTAATAACTAAAGATTTATGATTATTATAAATTTCGTATCAATTAATACTTACACGAGATATAAATCACAGAAATGACAACACTTAATGCAAGTCTTAATCCCATTTTTCAAGCAGAAATGAAACGTCAAAACTATAAGAGAACTAAAATTCAATCACACACGCGCGAAAGCGCACCAGCTGACCATGAGACAATAAATAGTGCTCTGAAATGTTTCCCGCGCCTCTCTCGGACTAGAGTCCCACGAATCAGTTGCTTTCATCCTTACTCTAGTACATCTTTTCCACTGCCCCCTAGCGGAAAAAGTGTTCGCCGTTTGTCATCGTAATCGTTATCCAATGCTGAACTTCTGACATGTCAGGAGTTTTGTTTGAGTGCCTTAAAAGTTTTCTGGTAATGACCAATACTATTTTAGAGGAGAATGTTGGGAAAGAAAATAATTAGAGAAAAGGTTTCTGGAGAATTCAAAATTAAATGTAACGATAAATAACTTTATCCACCTTTAGAAGAATTATAGAAGTATTTTAGATAAGAATTTGATAGAATTAATCGTCGGCATTTCTAAAGATTGTTTATAAGGCATTAAATTTATTTAACGCATTAGCTGTTAATTATTCTACTTTTATGTTTAAAATAGATGTCCAGATTTCTTTAATGTAAGTGAACTAACATAATGTTCCCCAACCCCCGGTCCGAGGACCCGTACCGGTCCGTGGATCAAATGGTACCGGGGGGGGCCCTTTACACTGAAACTGAATTTAAATTCCTAGGTTTAAACCCCAAATTAAAAATATCTGCGTTCCATTAAAATTTTATTTATTTAAAAAAAAAAGCCCCCGAAAGTAGTGACATAAATTTTTTAATGTTTATAATGTATCATTGTCTCCGATTACCCCCAGATGGAATCGTCTCATTGCAAAGAAACAAGCTCAGGGTTCTCATTCACTTAACGTTCGAGTAAGTTTAAATGTTAAATCACTTTATATTTATTTTTTGGTGTAACTGTATTTTATTTAGAAGGCATGTTTAAATACAATTAAATTAAAAAATCAAAATAATCTAACATATAAACAATCAATGCTCCCCCCCTAGCGGGTCGCGATAAAATTATCAAACGTTGACAGGTCCGCTGTGAAAGGTTGGGGAACACTGAACTAACGGATTCCTTCAGTCAAAATATCCAACCAGATCTTGCAATGGATTTTAAAGATTTCAACTTTCATTTGAGAATATTTATAACTATTTTCTATTTACTTTCTTATCATCATAAATTTTGAATGAATAAATTATATTTCAAAACACATTTTTTTCCAAATTACTATTTTTCTCTATAATTTGTATTTTGAACGTAAAGACTTAAAATCAAAACAGACATTTCAAAAAATGGACAAGTCAATGTTGCTTTGACATTAAAAAATAAAAAGTATTCTTTAACAAATAATATATTTTCCTTTCGGAAAATAGATTTTAAAAAATATTACATAACAGTGTTAGTTTTTAGCAGGGTAGTAAATTTTTCGATAACTAACCATTTTATCAGGTTTTTGACAAGTGTCAAAAACCCAAAATTTCACTGAAAGGAAAATTATAAGCTACTACAAACGAGAAGTATTTATAAATTAACATATTTATAAAATTATTAATGATCAACCAATTATGTTCAAAATTTATTTTGAAATTAAACTCAGCTTTTGACAATTACTATCAGAAACACAAATTTCTGCGTTGAAAATATTAAATAATTATAAATATAAATGTGTATAATTTAAATTTATTCAATCTGGGGAATTAAAATTAAAAATATCAATTGATTGCCGCAAAACATTATTCAAGACATAAAATCATTTAATATGCTTTTGAAAATTTTAATTTAGGTAAAAAATAATTTTAAAAGATAGTGCCCAATAATATACCAAAAAAAGGCAGATTATTTCATGTTTTCATCGTTTTTTGCTGTTACTAGTTTAAAACGTCTCGTGAATTTCAAAACACTGTTGTACATGTCAAATTTTATAATTTCTTAAACCATGGTAAATTCCAGTAGAAATATGTATTACAGCATTAAAGGTATCAAAGTTTTGACTGACTGCTTTTTTGACTAAGATTTTCATATAATACCAGATTCAAAAAGTATTAGCCCGCTGAAAGACATGTATATTTATTCAGTACAAATTTGTTTCTGTGCCTCATTTTATTACTTAAAATATCATCTAATCTAATTAATCACATATTTAAGGGTCTACCCTCCGAGTCATTAAGATAGTATACTAGTTCCTGAAAATCAAATTAAATGATCAGTTATCTATCTGCACCCCTTTTCATTTCCCACAGTGAACATACAATCACTTGTACTTTATGCTTTAATAGTCGAAGTACATGTAATGTTAAGCATTAGTTACTATTTAGCCAAATATAATGTAATTTTTTTGTTGATCAAAATAAAGTTTTATGAAATTATAAAAGAATTTCTTAATCATAAACATCTTACAACTGTTAATTTGCAATATAAATGAAAATCTTTTTTCTTAAATTATCCTACATGGATATCCTTCTTAAATTATCCTTCATGTTTAATTATTACGTAATTTACCAAGCAAATTTAGAAAATATAAGGGTTTGACAAAAATATGAAGAAAATCTTTTATACTACCTCTGTATAAGTAATCTCTCCTTTAGCAGCTAATGTTTTCAAAGATTTTACTTAGCAAACTGCTTGCACAGTTATTATTATTATACTTTAAGCTTTTAGAAATGCCCGTCGCACACATATAAAATTTTGATTGAACACAATGATGAGAAGAAGTTAACATTTTATTTTTAACTTTAATATCAGTAATTTGGGAAGCAAGGTATAGGGTTGCAATATTTACATAAGGAGCAATATTTAAAAATATTATATATTTATATTTTAAATTATAATGGTATTAAAAAAGAAGAAAAGCTTTTAACCTCATATTCTCATTTTGGCCGAAACAAAATTTTCAATGGTAAAAGAACATCTTTTCTAAAAGCTGAATCTCTTTCAGATTATGCCAGCAATTTTGCCACGCAAAACTTTCCAAAGGATTTGCTGCTAAAAGAAAATTTTTTAACATAGACGTGATTTTATATTCTTGCCCAACACATTGTACATTATAATCTTTAAAAAAAATTAGGATCATTCTTCATTAATAAAAGCCTTCTGATTAATACAACGATTTTTAATTTCATCAAATTGTATTTTCGTCTCTTAATAGTGTGTTCCAAACGTACACATACTTTTAGAACTTAAGCATCTGCAGGCTGTAATGTGAGGAATAAAGAATATCTAAGTCATTATGAAAACAGCATCGGAAAATAGCATTCCAAACAAAGATTTTAAAGGCTAAAGAAACGAAACGAGAATAAAGCACAACTGAAAGTACAGAAATGAACATACTATAATTTTGGTTCGCTAAACAAGAACCTTCCTATATGTCTTTCAGGATCTTAAAAATTTGTTCAAATAGTTTTCTCCTCAGTGAATATCTCATTTACCTAAAAGCTATCGCTGTACACCACGGTTTTCCTACTAGTATTATTGATTCCATCAATAGAAAATTACTCTTTCGATCCAGCAAACTCTTTAACTCGAACTTTAACAATTTGATTCTTTTATCTAATCATTCGAAAATCCTAAGTAGATTTTCAATAAATTTGACTTTAAAAATCGTTATTTCTCCTCTAAATAAACTAAATTTCACCCACCTTAAAGACAGTATTGCTGACAGTAAAAGCTGAGGCATGTAAATTATAAAACGCCATAAAATATTTACATAGAATTAAAGTAGACATGTTTTTATGTTTTTGCCCAACACTTTGTACATTATATTCTTTGAAAACCTTTTTGGATCATTCTTCATTAATAAAACTCTTCTCATTAAAACAACGATTTTTATTTTCATCGACTAACATTTTCGTCTTTTCATAGTGTGTAATAAATTCCGAACTGTTTTTTTATAGAGTGATATAAAGTTGAACATGATAACAATTCTAGGGCATCCAAGTGGCTTTTGAACTATAAAAGAGGTGTGAGTCCTACAATAAATATTCTCAACAGTGTAAAAAAAATCAGGCCTTACAAGCTTCCTGTTAGGTGTGAATGATTGTTTTTTCACACGCATATATGATTAAAGACACGTTATTAAGTATTAGTGTAATTGAGTCATAAATGTCTACTTGGCTTTTTTCCAAATGTAGAACTAAAAATTATTTTTAGGAACTATGTATTAGAGAAAAGACCTTGTGAAATGCTTTTAATGCTATCCCATTTTCGAACTTTAAATAAGAATACTTTATTGCATTGTCTAATCGTTTCTTAGAAAATATAATGTTTTTATTTCCAAGAGATCGAATCTTGCAGAAGTTTAATTTCTGATTTAAAAGATGCTTTTGAAATTTATTATCACTCTTATTATTAAGTGATATTTACAATACGAAAATATTAGAAGTAATAGTAATAAATTAATCAAATTATCTAATTAGAAATTCAATCGCTTGAGAGCAATATTTAATTACCTTAATAAATAATAATAGTAAACCAAGTATAATTAGTATTTTTGACATTGATTTTTTTGTGAGAAGTAGTAGTTTTGATCAAATAAATGAGAAATTATTCATTAATATTTGCTATTTTATTAAAAAATAGAATGATTTTGATGACAATGATGATCAAATAATTTCGGTGATATAATTTCTATCTCTAATTAAAAAGTAAACTACATACTAAAAAAGCCAAATTAATGAATAAATGGTATTAATCGTTAGAAGAAGCGCAAAAAACTGCCGTACTATTATCAAAGGCACTGATGCTTAATCGAATTTGGTAATATCCGCAAGGTTGCCACAGAAAAAAAATGAACAAAATAGTTGCTTCTAGTAGCCTAAAGCATAAAAGTAGTCTCCTAAAATTATGAAAGTAGTTGCCTAAATAAAAACAAAAAATTTTCAATAATATTACAAAAATTTTATTAAATGACTTCATTGTAATATACCATGATCCATTTAGTCGTTGATGGTCAATATGATAATTTTTAAATAAACGTTAGTGTTCTAGCACTAAATTTTTATATAAAAAATTAGTATATTTGCAGGAAACTAAATACTTTTAAATACTAGAATTAATTCAAAAAAATAATATTTTTTTAAAAAAAAGCATACTCTTTCTAAAAATTTTTCCCTTTTATCAATAACTGATT